ATCCTTCTGACCGGTACGTCAACAACATTCCGCCAGGAACCTGCCATGAATTCGCCCGCGGGAAGCCCCGCGTCAGAGCCTGAACTTTGTGTGCCATTGCTTGTGTCAGAAGTGTACAGTGTACTTGCATTACTCGTGTATGCAGTAGTTCTAGTACCGACCAAAGCGCGAACAGCAGTCATGGTGGCAGTGTTAGTAGCATGAGAAGGAGGAGGATTTGCAGCAGCAGTAGCAATAGCAGCTTCAGCAGTAGCTAAGAGAGTACAGTACTGATTACGGTCACGAGATGACAACCGAAGGGTCATTCAAGACGAGCAGCTCGCGCAGCTGCTCAATGAAACGTTCTGCACTTGATGAGCGAGCATGCATGTGAGCTGAAACCCCATCTAGGAGGCATTGTTCAACCCGTAAGCGATGGTTTGTGGATTCATGAAATTGATTTCGTCTCTCAGGCTGTCCCAACGATCACTGAACTCGCTGCCAACGGCACGATGCTTAGCCGTGCCAAGTCTCATGTGCTGGGCCCGATTATTCTTATTGTTGGGGGGGTTGCGGTCGGGTGGGATTCCTGGCCTCATGGCTCTATGAGCCTTAGGAAAAGCTCCTCGGAAGCCAAGGGAAAGCCCCGAGCCCTACGGAGCCAGAGGTCCAGTCCATGGAGTTTCCCGAAGACTCCGGGGCCGAAGCCGAGAGGAGCTGCGGCTCGGGGCTTTGGGCTTTCGAGCTTCTGGCTTCGGGGTTTTTGGGGTTCAGGGTTTAGGGTTTCGGGTTTTTGGGTTGAGGAGCTTGAGGTTGAGGTTCTTGGTTCGGGTTGTTGAGGATTTAGGTTCCAAAGTTCAGGGTTTTGGTTTTTCCTATCGGTCCTGTCGTGGCCAGAGCTGTCCTCGAAAGGAGGCAGTGAATCACAAAGCAGTAGAAGTGGTAAGAAAGCCTGAAGAGGTATGGCATTGGTGGAGACAGTGACAATGCACATACTACGGATGGCGCCTCTCCTAACAAAGCCAGGCATAGTAGTCGCATCGTTGTCGTAGTAGAAAAATAGAAGGAAGCAGAAGACACGTGGAACGTTCATACTCATGCTGCCAGCAGTAGCATTTGGAATCCAGGGTTTAAGGTTGCTTCTCGTATTTATCCCACCTCTGGCAGTCGGGGACACCGGCTGGGAAGTTGGGCTTCCTGTGCGCACTGTGAGGATTCAGAAGTCAATGGACAGGTAGTGACGTAGACGAGGAGGGTATAGACCCCAGGCTGTGGACTCGTGTGGACTCTGCGTTCATTTGTGGGCCTTCACCACCAGGGATGTGAGATAGTAGCAACATGATTCGTGTAGTTGATATTCGCAAGCGGCCGCACTCCACGCATGGCTCAAGACATGTCAACTGGACTGACAGAGTTCAATCCAATAGGTGGCTGTCAGGTGCAAGTCAACCGAGCTTGTTTTGGTGACAGCTGCAGATATCGAAATGCGTTTGCAACTCGATCAAAGCATGCAGCATGTGCAGAACTCTGTCACAGTGCTCTCTTCACTCGGGTTCAAGTCTAGGACGTGGTTTTTTAGCTCCCCGGAGCGCGGCACGAGTCAAGTGTTGAGCAACTTAGCCAGCACACTGCAGCCTCCAATAGGTGGCAGCTCCGACCTTTCAGGCAGTTGGGTTGCAGCTTTGGCCGGTGCCGTCAGTCGCAAGCCGTGAAGCCCACTCAGTTGCCATGCTCTCTACAGTGGCTGCACTCCTTGTGACCAGGGCAAGCATGCCTCGTGCTCTCAGCGACGTTCGGAGAGGCGCGGAAATCGCTGACTAAAGGTGTTAGGACATGCCCCTGCTCCGGGCGTAGCTCGCTTCTTCGTTGGTGCTTTGCTGTCTTCACGGATTCGTGAGTTTCAGCTGTTAAACTGTTAAGCAGGGAAGAATGCGGAGTTGGTGTATTGCCGGTTGTGCTGGATCGCAGGGTAAGCGGAGAAGCTAAGGCCCCGAGTAGATGAGCACAGTCTAAGCCGGAGTGCTTCAGTCATTCGGCGTTCTACGCACCATCTTTGCCAATCTTGGAGTGGTCTGGGGCTGTGGTTGCCAAATGGTCGCTCTTCTGTTGCTCGCAGAAATATGTGTTCGTTTGCATCGTTTTTTGGATGTGATTGGCAGGCAGTGTGGTCAAAGCCTTGGTGGCCGCAGCAATAGGCCTGCCAGCAATTCTCTTGGGACTGCAGTTGCTTTTTACAGCTAAACAGGAAACAGTGTAGTAGTATCTGACAAGCTCTGGCTTCTGACGGTCAAACATGGATTGATCACCGACACGCAGCCCTCTGGTGGAAGAAAGCCACTTCTGACATCTCTCAGTGTCGTTCGCACTGGATCTTATTCGAACGAGCACAGATACTCAGGGCATCTCAGAACGTGCAACGAGAAAGCAGCTATTTATGTCGTCAAGTCTGCATACTTGTAGCTGAAGTAGGACCTTGCCTTGATGTGGCGAGCTCAATGGACAAACCCTGCTACGCATGATCCTGCGGCTCGCAAGACCTCAAGCGTCAAATACCCTAAACAGATAGGGCGTACAAGTCACAGCTTTAGCCGTCTGCGAAAGGACCAGCTATCTGCATCATCGTTTGCTGTCTCCTTTTGGTTCTGGCTATCTACTGCCGTATAGCGCTGTGCTAGCCTAGCCTTGCTGACAAGCTCCGTAGACGGCTCGTTGGGGTCTTAGGAGTTCCGTTTAGTGTTGAGAGTTTAGTTGTGAAGTTGGTGAAATTCAGGCCCCGACCAACTGGCTCTAGAGTTCTTAAGTCAAGAGCCTTCAAAAGAAATGAAATTCTTTCCAGACCAGGTGCCCACTGCGCGTGGCAGGCCTTCGTCTCGATTCCAGGTGCCTGTGGCCACACAGTCAGCAGAGCATGTCGCGGTACTGGAGCTCAACAGAGTCATAGGTAGGAAAATACAGCTCGATATATAGATGGCTAGACAGCTCCATGCGCAGATAGATGAGAAAAACTGGAGGCATAGAGGTATGTGCAGCAGTGGCAATACCAAGATGAAGAGCCAGACTCGACCTCACTGACCGACAGCGAGCAAATCGAAGCCTTCGGCCAAGCTCTGACTGCATCCTATGACCTGCACAAGACTACTGAGCCACGCAGCAGCATCCCGTCACAGGCCGTGAGGCTTACTACGGACCCTGTAGTGCTTCTCGATCACAGGTGGCCGACACAACACCCGCAGCACAGCCCGCGTGGTCAGGCCACGAGAGCCGGGTAGCAGCATGGCAACTGCCGGTGACACGACGGCAAATTCGGCTGCACATTCCTGTCGACCGCTGTTTTCACGGGGAGGTCGATGAATGAACCTAAGAGCGAGTGCGAGGGACAATTGGATGCACAGGCGGCAGGCAGGGCTACCGCGGTGTTTTCAACAAGTCATTACCTCATTTAAGTCTACGGTTGAAACTTCTTCGACCCCGAAGCCACGCAAGCGGAGCATGCCAGGTCTGCCGAGGGCGACTCAGAGGACATCCTGGACCGGGAGGACCCAGTTGGAGGTATCATTTGGTTCTGCGGTTGGAACCGCACTACTTGACTGAGTTGGCCGTGGGTTCGGTGGTTGCCAATGCTCTTCGAAGAATGGTGAATGCAACGATAAAAAGTTAAGGATGACGACGGCGTTAATGGTGGTGGAACAGCTAGACGATTGTACGAGCATTCAAGCATGTTAAACCGGGCCTGGGAGCTTTCAGCTTCAAGCTGTGTGACTGCGGTATACTGCGGTGTTTTGCAAATTGAAGTTCTGAACTTCAGCATTCTCTGCTGCTGCACTTGCCTCAAAGTCTCCAGACGGTACCCTGGCCCTGAAGGCATGTTTTGCGTGGAACTCAACCCCCGTCAGCAGTAGTAACCACCATGAAAACAACAGCGGTTACACAATCTTGGTCTTACGAATCTGGATGTCCAGGACATCATGAACATGAACAGCAAAAAGACAAGCCGAGCAAGCATCGCTAGTATGGTGATCATGGCTGAAGCACAGAAAGAAGCAAGGTGTCAGAAAAAGAGCCTGGCTCCAGAGGCTGCGATGAATTACAGAGTAGGCAAACTTCACAAGCCTGTCATGTCTAACTTAAGGAGCACGCACACACACACACACACGTGCGTCTTATCCTTGTTGGTACCTGCTTGCGCAGCTAAGCAGTTCCAGATGTAGCTTCCGTGTAGGGAGACAAATAGTGCTTACTCGCTTTGGACCTGGTGTGCAAACGCGTTAGCACAAAGGTTTCCACAACAAGCTTCAGGCCGTTCAACCGTACACAACCCCTGACACAGCCTGCTCACATCATTCTTGTGGTCATGATGCCAGCCTCGTGGACGCAGGATATCGAAGTATGGGATCAGACCGCTGAGGAGACCCGTACTGCTGGAGGGACAGCGACTGCGCCGGGGCGGATCACAAAGGTTATGAATCGAAGAAGACGTATCATACCGAGGAGATGTACAGGCGTTTCAAGGCCGAGAGTGTTCTTTAGCATTTGCCCTGCGCGAGTAAACAAGTCATCATACTGCTTGTATCATTCTACTCTTCAAGGCTGAACGTTCCATGGTTTACCACGGCTACGACTTAGCAGACTGCGGATAAAGACTGTCTGCCGACCGTCTGCTAGAAGTCTTGAGACAATAGACTCTCATGGTTCAGAATCCTAGCAGGAGCTGTCCCTGGACATGCGCGAGCTGTTAGTCACAGAAGCTTGGACCATCTGTGTTGCTGTCCTGGTGTCGACACTCTGAATTGCGATTGCCTCAAGCTGCTTCCCGATGCATCTGGGATATTCACCACATTCCATTATGTGAGCTTGTAGACTAATTGAAAGCTTTGAGTGGTACTTCTGACAAGCGGGTTACCGCCTTCGAGCAGTGGCATGTTTGGAGGGTATGACCGACGAAGGCCCCTCTTCATGCAGTCAGAACCCGCGGAAGCCAGCGAGTCTCCAAGGATGCCAATGTTTTCTTGGTTGGCCCAGACATGGACTCCTACAGGGAAGACATCAAGCTGGTTGCCGCGACTCGGCCTGAAGAGCATTTGCTCCCCGACAAGCAAACAAGTTTTCGTGATCCTGTCATGTTGACCATCGGGTCAGGAGCGGATCAACTACACCTTTGTGGACTTCGAGCACACGAACCTTGTGTCGGCTGGGGAAATGGCACCTCGAGCTGGGCTTTGTGTGACCTACAAAGGATTCTTGCAAGGATTGACGAATCTAATCGGAGAGCGTTTGTTCATGTTGCCCTAGTTAGATCTGACCAAACTGCAGCACCACAGATGTGAAAATGCCATGTACCCGAAGCACGGCGCCAACTGATGCTCATGGTCACCGGGCTGCGAGCACATGCGCCGCGAGCAATCTTACAGCCGGTGCTCTAGACACGCGCATTTGCCGGTGGTCCGTTGAGTACACTGGAGTGTCAGGTGAACCTTCAATACTCCTTAGTTCACTTTTCGAGCTCTGCAGTTGAGTATCCCTCCAAGCCGGCTCCAAGCAAATTTATGTATTGCGAACGCCAGACGGGCCAGCTGGAGAAGGTGGTTGCGGTACCGCCGCTGACCAGCCCGAGGGCAGCAAGAAGGGTAGCTGTTTTGCTACTGCCTCGTAGCGTGCCACGATTGCAGCTCTTGCCAAGACGGACTCCATCCGAACTCTGAAGTGAGGTCTGTGTCCTTTTTTCGAACGGCCTCCCCTAGCACCCTTTGCAGCATGCGTGTTCCGTCGCTCCATTTCCGAGGTGTCACTCGCTTCCCCTGGAAGGTGATGATGCATGGTCTCATAGACACTTGGCCACAAAGAGCAGCATTAATTGGAGCGCAACGGGACAGGCCAATGTAGGCCAAGCCGAAATCTTTTGTCCTTATCACCCCAAGTTACAGAAAAATCCGGAACACGAATGGCTGCTGTTCCATTACCGTGTGTCGTCAGCAGGCTTCGTGTTGTGTGGGCCCTTTTCTTCAGAGGTGTGGCTTGACCCAGATGGCTGGGAGCGGCGCGACATCATCATGCGAGAGAAGATCCGGCCGGGCACCCCTGGCTTTTGAAGGTTGGCATAAAGATCGGAGGTATGGGGCATGAAGCTTTAGAGCCCACGCTTGTGCGCGCCCATGCTTTAGAAGTGTCCGTTTAAATGCCGAGGATTCTGTCCAGGTTTCATCAGAGCAAACTCTCTTCCGACACCTACTTCGTTTTGTTGGGGCGATGCCAAAGATAGGTGAACAGAACTGCAGAGTTGCACGTCGCAAGGTATGCAGGAACTCTGTCACACAACCATTCTCTGACCTCATCGATGTCATGCACCGGCATGCGGACAGAAATGAGGAGTTGCCCTCCCGTCGACCCCTGAAGACCAGCAGATCTCGAAGCGTCATGATTCCTCTAACTGTGCTTTGCCCAGATCTCGAAACTCTCTTCACAGGTGGTAGTAGTCGTTGCCGTAGTGGCAGTGGCTGCGGTAGCGGTAGCAGTCTTGGAAGCAGAGACGACGACCTGCACCGGCACCCGTACCACGGGCAGCAGTTCAAATATAAAAAAACCTAGCCGTTAGTTGATCACATGCCTCGGACCCCGAAGGAAGAAGAAGTTTCCGAAGAAGAAGGCGGCCTTCGGCCCTGAGAAGCCCGGGGCCCATGAACCCGGGCATTTCGTGCCAGATGGTCATTGCCGATATGCTGTGTAGCATTGCTTGCATGCTGACGACACTGGCAGCTTGGCAGCCCTTGAGCTAGAGATTGAAGTGTCCTTCTCCTCGCTGATCAGGACTCACTCTACCTGATCCGTTGCGACTCTCTGAATCTTGCTGTTTCTGCAGTTCATTTGCCGGGCTTCTGCTGAGGGCCATGGAGTTCGGCTTCAATCGACCCAAGGAGATCGAGCGCGACGCCGAGTATTTGAATGCAGTGTTTGCTTGGCAGCAGCTTTGTTAGCAGGCTTACCATTGCCATTCTAGGCAGCGACGAGATGAGTCCTGTCAGAAGCCTTGAATCGAAGCTCTAGCTTAGGGTCAGCTGTTGTTAATTAGTGTTGGGGAATGAGGACATGCCAGTCTCATTTAGCGGAGCTGAGCGCCGCAAAGCAAAAACTTGCAAGCCTGCTACCCTGCCGGTTCATACTCTAGAGTTTGCTTCAACGCCTTCTGCAATGTAAAAGAAATTTCACACGCACCGCTGCCAGTGCGGCCGACCCCATCGACATGTGGCAGGAGGCAGATGTCCACGTTTCCTGGCCTTTGATTTCGATGTGTGTTGTAGCAAAGGATCTTGCTTGCTGGTAGCGGTTCGGCTGTTCGGACGCATTGGCAGGAGCAGCACTACTGGCAGCAGTAACTGGTAATTGGCACTTGATACTGCAGTCTGGTTTTTGGAAGGCATCTACATGCTGGCTGCTGTAAGCCCGACCGGGTTCATGTGTAGGTGCAGGACATAGCCGGTCCATCAGTTCCCAACCTTGTCTGCACATCTCAACGGTACAACTTCCCGCACCGGTGGATGTTAGATTTGGTGCTCCTAGGACCATGTGTCCTGGTAGACCCTGATGCTTGAAGCCAGCCATCCAAGGTGGACCTGCAGTCTCGAAGCGACATGCCTGCACGCGCCTGAGAGTCCAGGTCGGCCAAGAGGGGGGTCGACAAAATTCAATCGGTACTGTATTTTGCAGCAGCTTTTGATAGCGGCCGTGTTTAGCTCTTCAGGGCTTCGGATTTTCGAGATTCGTGCCGTTGCTGCTGCTGCTGCTGCTGCTGAGCTCAAATCTTCGATCCTACATCCGACGCAAATCTGCTGCAAAAGCAGAACCTGCACGCCGTGGATTTGCGAGCTTCTTATCTACAAGCTCACATCTCCTCCATACATCTTGGTCCTGCTGGCGATCAAAGTCTCCTGTTCCCATATTACACAGCAAAATCCAACTTGCATGCTGCTTGGGCTTGAGGTAGCAGACCATATCATGGCTGCCGTGATCGACGCTCCTTGGCTAAAGCTTCGGAGAGAGCCCCGCTTTATACATGCGGCTAGCATCCCGGAGCATGTGGCAAAGCACGTCATTTGAAGCTTGCACTTGATCTGAGAATTTGTACCCGTAGGGGGTTGCAGCGAGGGCAGACAGACTACGAAAACGGGATCAAGTGCGTAGATGCTACAAGCAGGAAATCCATCGTGTCGTCGCTGAGGCGATCCTGCGCAGCCCGCCGAAGTGGCGAAGTTGGATGAAGGCTCAGTTTTGGAGCTGGAGTGCCCTTGTCATTTCTTCCGATGCCTTCTATGGGGTGACACCGTGACACCTTCGTCAATCAAGACTTAAACTACCCCGAGCCAAGTCTAGTAGTGCCTGAAGGAGAAATCGTGAAGACACTCTTCTCGGTACAAGCACCAAAATTCCGTAGAAACGACAATTCTGTCGGAGCCGAACCGTGCCCTGGGGCCTAGTGGTTGCAGATCAAGTCCATAGTCACGGTCATTATCCCATCAATCGAAAACCTTGAAATGGAACCCTGAGACGAGATACCATAGTTCAAAGGAAGCCTTCCGTTGCAGGCAGGCAAAGTCCGAGGGACCATCCCCACGGACTACGAGACGCCCTACCAGGTGTCGGAAAAGAGCGTAGGAACGCCGAGTTGAGGCTTAGTGTAGGTTCAGTGTTTAGGATGAGGGGGGATAGTGTGTGTTCTTTGGGAGTCAGAGCGTGTATTCGGCTGTAGAGATCAGGTTTGTTCTTGATGGCTTTTCGCGGGCTTGGGCTTGACAACAGGTTCGCTGGTAAATTCCTTCCCTTTTTCTTGAAGCCAAAAGAAGAAGGGCCCCGTAAAGGTCGAATTATTGCAACAATGAGGCTGCACCTAAGGCACCCGTCTAGTGGTTTCCCTCCGGTGCGTGCAACAACCTGATTTGTCACAGGTCGCTAGGAGCTACATCTCAGTGGTTTCTTTTCCAGGGCAGTTCTCGACTCTTCTATCTATCGACCAGAAGCAGGCTTTCCTCAGCCTAAGCCCTAAACCTCTTGCCCATCGCGTTCGAAACTGCCAGGTGCGGCGCGAGTCATTGCCTCAGCGCTCCGAAAGAACCTGAGTATCGCTGTCGGTCACCAGGGGCTGTCAAGAAACTCCCCTCTACCTCATTTGCCAGCACATTTGCAACCCATGGCAAGACGAAGCTCCACAACTGTATTGAAGGTGGTTGTAGTAGCAGGAGTATGATGGTAACAGCTATAGCAGAGGCAGTAGGACTGTTGGTGGTTGTGGTTGTGGCGGCAGTGGTAGCAACCTAAAGCAGCGCTGCAGGAGCAGAAGGAGCTATTAGATTTGTCAGGTTGATAGTTACCTTCAATCTTCGTAAACATCCTCGAACGGAAGCCAAGCTGATCGGGGGTTCTGGTCATGGAAACATGAGGATCGATACTGACCTGACACCCTGCATCTGTTCATTCCGAAAGCAGCTGGATTGGACGTACCTAATCTTAAGATGTTGACAGGGAGGAATGTTACATACAACAAGTTTAAAAGTGGCACGCACATGTGCGAGGTCGGTTCTCAGCGAGAGCTTAGGCTTGCAAAGACCACTCTGAAATACGCAGCCAAGCCTCAAGCGTCCGAGAAATTTGAAGCTTCGGCCCAGACCCAGATTTCCCCCGTGCGTTCCCTCCAGCCCTGGGCCAGTAACCCGAGAGGGAACAGACATGTCTGGAGGGATTTCGGTAGGTCGCAGGCTATTGTGCCGTTGACTTCGAAACAAGTTCGGAGGGCTTGAAACGCTGGTCTTGATCGTTCTTAATGAATCACGGCACTAAAACATAACCAACAGAAAAAGGCACAACTAGTGACGGATCCCCGATTACCGATCCCGTGATCTTCAGAAATTCCATCCTCCATATTGTTGAAGCCCGAACTCATTCTAGTCCAGCTTGAAGCTTACAGGTTCCACTCCTACGGCATGTCGCCACGTTTGAACAAGCTGCTGAAGGCGCCTTCTCTTGCTTGGCTTAGCGTTCCACCGACAACTGTTGCCGTGTACCCTCGCATTCTGAGATTCTGGTATTGGCACAAGCCATGGTCGCCCAGTGATGTTTCGGATTTGGCGGGTAAACGAAGTGAACGTGACCGTCGCCTCATCCGGGTGTAGCAGGTGTGACTTAAGTTGCGCGGCTTGCAGAAGAGAGAAGCTTCTGTTGTGTGTACAAACATTTCCGAGTTTTGTATTTTGCAGCAAGGCAAAACTCTTCAATATCAGAACACAATTGTCTTCAACTGTCGATGCTCTTGCAACGTGCAGAATGCCACCAAGGCACGTAATCAAAATAATAAGAGCCGTCATATTACTGGCAGCCGTAGTCCATGCAGAGTCTACATACAAACCCAATCAAGTTAAGGAATCAGAGCATTGAAGTTGCCAGAAAGCCAGTCGTGAGATCTCATAGCATCGGATCTATTGTGAGTGTGAGTGTGCGGCTGCGGTTCATCGGCTGCACAGCGAACGGCCTCAAAGCCTTGTCGCACGTAACAACATGGGGTAAAGCTCCTGAAAGCTGGCCGGTAGACGTATTCCAAGCTTGGACAGGTGTCTTGAAGTATTTGTACCAGTCTACATGCCTAAACGGAAGCTGTTCGCCTGATTGAGGCTTGATCATCCTTTGGCTGAGCCTTTGGCGAAAGATGCGAGCAGAGAGTCAGTCCCCATGTCAGCGCTCAAGCTAAGCAAAAAGCCTGGCGACACATGCACGGCAACTTGAGGATATCATTGCATTCTCTCCCTTAGAATCCCAGTAAACGAAGGTGTTCCAGTCCAATACACTACAAGGCTTACCATAAAGGCAACACAGGGGCCTGGACAGTTTGGAGATTATGTTCGAGGTATAGTTGTAGTATAGCTGAAACTGAAGGGCTACTAAGTCGAGCTGTTTCGGAACCAGATCCTGCACAGCGGGCTCCGGCTTTGCTACCGTCCTCTGGGATGATGCATGCTTGCAGTCCTGCAATTTAAAACCTCCGATCTTTGCAACTCTGAACCTTGGTTGACATCCCTGATTCTGTTTCTTGTAATCCGAAGGCAGACATGGTCGGGGAGAGTTAGGGTTTTCTCGGCTTCGTCTTCAGTGGAATCTCCGTGCCAAATCTGTCCGATAGACAGCTGGCTCGACCAGGATCAGAGAACCCAAGGGTGGCAAACGTTCGGATAATCCTGTCCCCCCGAGCCCCTCAACATGAAGCCGGCCTAACTTCGAAAAGCATTGCCAGTGTTCGTGTGACTGTTATGAATACGATGGCCACTACGCGATATGATCTCTTTCAATCCTTAACTGCCTTGTCATCGCTCCTTTCGTTGAAAGTATTAAATAAATATGACCTTTGCACAATCATCAATGAATTGAATATTCTCGTCACGCAGCACAGTGACTGGCAGGACACCCAGGCCTGCTGTGGAAGCAGAGCCGCTGGGGTTTCTGCGACGAGACTTGGGCTTTGAGTATTGGAGCAAGCCGTAGCGCACACTGTAGTCATCTATCGTGGGTCTTGGTAGTGTAACCAACCATGTTCTTGGATGAGCCGGAATAGGCATGACAGTGCAATCTCCAGCAAGGACATAGGAGCATTCAAGAGTAAGAAAATGAATGATCTGAGTTGGTCAGGGCTGGCCGATGCACCACTTGAGGATGTGTTGGCTAGGGTCACGTGCGATGTACATGGTGCAGGGTAGGGCGTGACTCGTTTTCGAGCTTTCAGCAGTGTCTCAGTCGGCGATTCGGTTCGTGTTAAATGCACATGTTGGGCTGTTGATCGAGATTTGGCTGCTGAGCAGGAGTTTAGACACAGTCTCAATGCAAGTCCAGCCTGTCAAGCGGACTTCCCAGGCTTCGGAACCTTGTCACGAAATTGAACATGCTTCGAACCAGCACTTCTCAACAATCTACTCTTGAACTAGCGGGAAGCTGGGTGCTCATGCAACTGTTCAATCAAATACGGAAACCTGCGGCCGCTGCCCGTCGAGGAGCTTTACGCTCTCTGTGGACATGGAGGCAATAGCGGGAAACACAGACTTGTACATAGCTGCGGGCAGTGCAAGCTGGGGCGTCGTGAGACGGTCTGAAGCGACTTCTCCCTGTGAAAACATACTGACCACCTTGTGCACCGTTGTTCCACTTTGTTTGCCTCTCTCTTCTGGCAATCCCCCACTGCAGGCCGCACGTTCCGGAACATTTCAAGCGAACTTCGGCAACTCGTTTTACATGGGATTTCCCGTTGCCGTCTTTGTCTGCGAAGCAGTGAGCCCGGCTCGCCAACAAGGCTCCTTGCAAAAGGAATCCTATGCAGATGGAGAGCCTGTGTTTCAGCAAAAGTGTGGGGGCTGCATCCAGGCCGACTGATTCAGAATCGAAGCCTCATAAATCATCTCCTTCCGAGCTGTTTCGTTAGTGGCTATGATGACGTGTGATACACATGTCCCTTATCGTCAAAACCATCGCCCCTTCTCATCTACGTCAAACCAGCCGTGTCGACGAGATGCTCCCCCCAAGCCTTGCGCAGCACTGGACTGTCGGGGCATGCATGAGGAGCCAAAAAGACATGTTTCTGTTCTTGCATTCTAGCACGGCTGGAGCGGGAAGCACTGGCCTAAGGATTGTGCAAGGGTGCATAAATACCACTATGTATCTATGCAGGTATGTATAATATACAGATATGTGAACATGTGGATACATAGATTCAGGCACATACATACGGGCCTGCATATCTATATCTATATCTACATCTACACCTACACCTATACCTACACCTACGCACATAAATATAAATATATATATATATACACGTTGTATGTAAGCATACGGCAGAGTCCTTCGGACAATGTTGATTTGTCCTGGTGCTGGCATCTCACACGATGTGTGTCTACATGTATAAGAACAGCAGTAGCAAAGAGAAACCTATGCAATATTGACCGCACGTAAAGATGCGAGGATACATACACCGAATAATCCCGCTGTGACTCCTGATGTCAAGGTGTCGCAGCCACGTGAACTGGAGAATGTGCTGAAAACAACCAAGTTTGCCAGCTAATCTTCCTTCTGCTACTGCCGCTCGGACCACCACCACCATCACCAGCACCACCACCACAAGACGACTACTGCTGCTGCTGCTGCTCCTACTACTACTACTACTACTACTACGACTACTACTACTACTACTACTACTACCACCACTACTACTTCTACTATTTCTACTATTTCTACTACTACTTCTACTACTGCTACAAAGCAAGAGCATACTCACCATGAGAAGAAAGGTCGTATCACTAGTGACAGCACTGGATTCTTGGTCCATAACAGAGAGGTTTCTAAAACAGAGACGCCTCAGCTTTAAGCCGAACCCCAAGCTTCCCCCCCTTCGATATTCTCCTGCAAAGACAGACATCTTTGCAAGCAAGTGATTGATCGAAGGCTGCTCCCCGAACAGATGCCTTGCCGCCTCCCTCCAAGACTGCTGAATGCCGGATTGGTCTACCTACTGGGTAGGTTGCCCCCGGTTTGGGCGCTACACACAGCCGTTTTGCCGAACAGAAGCTCAATTGCCAGAGTACCGACATGTTCGCGACAGCTTTGGGGTCCAGTCGTGAATGTGGCCTGGTGTAGCAGGTCGGCACCTGTAAGTTTGAGAACCAAAACGCCTTGCTGGTGAAGCCAGCTTACTTCACTGACCATGTCAAGAAAAGCAAGGTCCCTTACAACGAAAGCAAGCAAGGTCACCCCCGACACCTTCCAGCACCTGCAACCTCTACACTTAGCATTAGAAATCTCCAAACACCCTGAAGCAGTAGACAACATAGACTCGAGAACACTCCCCGTTCCTATACGGTATGTCCGACTTGTGGGAGCGGCTGCGTGACGACCCAGCAGCGCAGCAAGCGACGAAGCCGCATTGTAATGTAAAGGGCTTGGGAGAGGCTTCTGACCTGACATAAACTCACAGTCAGACATCTCTCAGGGACGGGTCTCGATTGGAGGCATGGGTTTGAAAGCACATTCGACGTTTACAGCTGAAAGTTTTCCCGAATACTTGCCTAAACGGCTGACGAGGAGAAGGAGGTAGTGCTGGCCGCTGTCGCGGAGGAGGGCATTGCACTCCAGCAGCTCGCCGCCACCTATGATTGTGGAAACGTTGTCAGAGATGTGCAGAATGTCACTGAATATTCATGGGACAGGGTTGACATGCAGTGTACAAGGGCGAAGTATGGACTGCGAGGTTGCAATTCCAACTTGTCAGCAGTTCCTGCCCAAGAATCCTAGCATCGAAGAGCTTCTCTTCTGGTCCCCTTAAAGGCCCCCCCTAAATCCCCTAAACCTCCCTAAACCCTTTAAAGCCTTATAGAATCCCGCCATATCCCGGTCAGATTCGCCTCGCCCGAGCTTCAGGATGACCCAGAGGCGCTTGGGCCTTGCTCTAAGGGATGGGGGGGCATGGTGTAGGACCTACTATCTGTGTCTCTGTGTCTGTGTGTGTGAGTGATGCTTTTTGTGATGCTTTGGGTGACTCTGGCACCTGACCGATGGCCGGTTCAGGATTTGCATTTGCAGTCCAGCCAGGTAGTGGCCACCGCCGTCAAGCAGGAAGCACAGCTTGCAAGAGCCGCAATCGTGTGTTTGGCGGCTTTCTTGCCGATGCTAGCTGGGGGTATTTGCTCGGTGTCCAGCTAGACGGGGTTGGCACAGCGAAGTTGTTTGTTGCACCGGCTCCTCCTGTATGAAAGCATGGGCAGGGAGGTAGGAGCCCGCGTGTCTCAATTTCACGGGCAAGCAATGCGAATCTATCGACGGCTTGAATCCCGACTAGTTCAGCCTTCATGCCTTCATCTGTTGCATTACAGGACGCTGATGCGCTGGAATATGTCTCCGAAAGGCTTCGTGGCAGTCGGGAGGCGCAGCAACAATCTTTGTCAAAATATTTGCCCAGCAGTCGCGTTACAAATGTAACAGGATGTTGAGCGCCACCGTCGTGAGCACCAGCGTTCGAACCGTCAGTTCTTCCGACTAGGGTTCTACACTGCGCGAGAGGTGGTGGCGGCCGCGGTTGAGCAGAACGGCACTACCGATGCAAGTGAGGAGGGTTTTGGCAGGTTGAGAGATTCGTTGGCGTAGATCCACTCGGCGTGGGACTGTACGAGGCTCACGGGGTTCAGGCTTTGACCGACACAGTACCCAACTCAGCCGCTCCCTCTCCGTCCTCCGTCCAAGAGATCATTTCGTCAAACCACAAGAGAATGCGAAAAAAGACCTACTGTTGTCTGGAATATGCGTTTGTTCATCATTCTATAGCATGCAGCTAAGTAGCCTAGAGCCCCTGTGCATACACTCTGTTCATGATCACTTCTTTGAAGGGAGCTTGGAATTGTTAGGCGCTGTACTGCGATTTGCCGCTCCACATCTCTGGACCGCCTGGGCCTAATCGTAGACGGTCGTCCTGGCACGCGAGACGCTTCCGATGTTGACCACGTGAACGTGAGGGGCACAAGGACACTACTCCGATGCTCAGAGGCCTCCTCATGCTAAAGCTGTAAGACCATTCTCCACGGCTGCATGTGTAAAAACTGAGAGGTGGAAGCAGGTTTAGCAGTTCAGGCCAGTTTAGTATCTGAAAGCCAGCCCTGCTGACAGCCAGCTGCTGCTTGAGCTTAAGCTGCAGAGCTCGTGGTCCCTTAAAACGACATTCAAAAAGCATTGTCACCATGAACTAACGTAACAGCGAGAGAAGTGGTCGTTGACTGCTGTGGATCCAAGAACAGCTTCAGAAGCGAATCCCAAGACTTGCCGACCGACCTCGGGAGATACCCATAAGGCCGCAGATTATCGCACACGCCAGCCTGAAGAGCTGTCAGCCAATCCTGATTGTCCCTGAGCTACTCTATATTGCATGTACTAGCGGGGAACGCTTCGAGGCAGTTCTGCCGGTGCGTGCCCAGCGATCTAGAGCCCAGCATATGCAAAGCACTGGCGGGTCGATGCCAGTCAGTAGTCGTACCATTCACACGACCCGTTCAACCGATTGTGAGGATCGGACGCTCCTCTTGGCAGCGGTACAGCAGGCAGCTGTAGTTGCAGGATGTTCAGAAGCTCTAGTTTTGGTTGCCTGTGTTTGGTATCTGGGTCACCGGAAGTTGAGAGCTGGAGCTCGCACAGGAAGCTGTCTTGTGTGAAAGCCGAAGATTCTGATGCCGAAGCGACACCGGTCTTATCCAGAGCCACCATGGTAGCGACGAGACGCTCGGTAGTGGATCGCTTGTCCACTTGAAATGATGACGCGCCCCCATACCTGCTGCAGATCTCTGATTTTCCAAGCTATCATCAGAGAAACTGATCCTGCTGATGCTTTCAGTATCGGTTTGGGGAACTCGCCGTTTCCGGATGAAGACCTATAGACTCCTGGGGTTCTTCTACATTCTACACAGGATGGTCGGCTCCTGAAGCTCGGAGAGGGCACGGGCCTGCCTGGACGCCCAGAGCTTTCCGAAGATCCCAGGTGTCGGGTTTAGGGTTGAACATTTCCGGTTGCTCCACGTATCTGTTTCAGGGGAGTTGGGGTTCTGAAGGGACGGACCGGAAAGGCTTGAGCATCTACGAGAGCCTATGAGACATCACTAGCACAACAAAACATGAGTCTGGGCCACGTCCGAGGCTTCTGCAAACTCTCGCAACACGTAGCAGCAAACACTATGACGAAGGATGGCACCATGTCCTGCCATGCTGCTGTAGTAGCCAAAGGGTAATGTCTCGATGCAAGAAGCCAAACGTTGTAAACCAGCAATACCTGATGATCACCCTATGCAATTCGTTAAGGGTGCTTGCGATGTCTGGCGATCCCGCTGGTGCCGGTCTTTGTGGACCCATTTGATCCAGCGCAGTTGCATCTCAGGTCAAAGGACAAAGAAGTTGTCGGGGGCCCTGGCTTCATCCACTGGGGGTCGCTCGAGCTAGTGTTTGCGATTCAGCAACTCAAAGTGTGATTCGCATCCAGGTCATCCCAGATGCAAGATGATTGCTAACTGCCAAGATAAGAAGTCAAGGTGTTTCTGAAAGCGCATCGCTCCAATCAAGAAGACGGAGTTGCCGTCAATACACTCAAAAGAACGTTGTTCCTCGATGCATGCGGAGCAGATTCCCTTAGCACCATCATGGGGTGTTCTTTGAGAGCAGCCATGTGCATCCTCAGGTTCGAGCTGCTGTCGCACAGGCCATGGCCCTGGGTTTCCGAAAATAAGACAAGTCCAAGGCTCCTCCAGGGCACCTGGCAGAGGCCAAACTTGCTATGCTCTGTCGCACAGTTATTAAAATTGAGGGACTTAGGGTCCTGTTGTGCCTTGAAGACTTGCAGCCTGCGAAGCTCAAGGATTCTATCCTCAAGTCCAACAACCTTCCGTTGCTGCGGGTTCTGCATAGCCTGGCAGGATGGTGATGCCCTGGAGTTCGCAGACGAGGAGATGCGAGCCGACAAAGAAGCACCCGGGACTCCGCAGCTAGATAACCAAGGAAGCGCCCATGTCGAGTCTTCGGGGAGCCCATCCCGGTTGGATGGGAAGACATGGGAACTTTCAAAAAGCCCAGTCAATGATTCAAGTCTCAAGGAATTCCGCAAATCGCTTGGATTTCTGGCCTGGTCGAGGTTGTCTTGTTGGCCGTGTCCACCAGCGGCACAAATCTCCAGCTCGCCGCCCAGGAGCCGTGTCGGGGCAGCCAGGTGCTTCAGCACAAGGCATCTAGTCTGTTCGTCTTGCACCGGACATGTAACCCAGAAGCGAAGGTTCGAGCACAACTCTCGAAAGACCTTCGGGCTTCTCCAACCGACCATCACCGCCTTCAGCCACGTTGGTGCACTGTGAAGATGCCAGTGCAGGAGCTGCAGGACGATCCGGAGGTGGTTCGGGCCGCCATTAAGCGCCTCGTTTGCGAAGTTGCTAGGAGTTTTGTTCACCCCGCCTTTGAGAATGGGCTTCAGGCGTGACCGACGGGGCATGAAGACCAACCTGAACTTTCATGGAAGAGAGGAACCCAACATCCGATTACACATGAGGGTGCCCAAGAGGACCGAACACGCCGATAACGTGACCCATGCCTGCTCAAATACGAAGGTTCGATGGCCTTTCGCTTCAATTTGCTTCCCTGCGGCTCCGGGCGGACCCGGGTTCGTTGCTTTGTCTTCAGGCTTCACATGTCAAGGGTTCTTAGGCCACAACGAACCGAGCGGTTTCTTCTTCAGGTATTACAACATCAGTTATGCAAAAACTCGGGCAGTCTTGCCGAGTTGAGTTTCACAGCATTTGGAACAAGCCTTGTGTAGTAGGGGTGACCCTGCAGGACAGAGATATGGTTCTGGCAGCAGCAGCCTCAGCTTGTGATTCTGGTCTCAAGACCTGCGGATCACGGCTGTTGAGCTTAATTGTCCATACTTTAGAACCACCTGTGTAACCAGTTGTAATTGCCATGACGAGGCCATTTGTCAGAATGGCTGCGCGCTCGAGTTCGCCAGCGAGGCTACCAAGTGGACCAGCCACTGTCCACGAAAATTGACAGACTTCCGATCAGCCACTCTGCCTATGCACAGGCTTGTTCAACATCAATCATAGGATCAGTTTTGTCACTTGTCATGAACAGCTTAAAAGGCCCTGTGTTTGGGCATCAGCACTCAGTAACAGGTGTGTTTAGCACGGTATGCTTCATCCTGAGATATCCTGATGTCAGGCACTCCGGCAAGAACGCGAGGTCGTTTGGCAGGCACTGGGGGCCCTGGGGTCCTAATTTGGCAGAGGACGAAGGTGACATGGTAGATCGCTACATCGCTAGATCCCGGCAGAAGCCTCAGTTTTCTGGTCCATGTGTGTTTGCTCGAGAGGCAGTAAACCGGACGCCACGGTCATTGGCCTTGGCTTTGGGTGCAGTCCCTAGCTGGGGAGAGCATCCAGTTTGCCAGCAGTTCGGATGGCCAGAAACGGTACCTGGCCTTCCTACTTTCCCGTCGATGATTTGCTTCATATGGCACGGGCCGGATGCATGTATAGTTTTAGCTCCATGGTGGCCAGCCTGCCACGTGAACCGACCTAAAGCTCTTCGCGGCCTCGAATTTCGACATCCCGACGTCCTGGGAGTCCTGGGATCTCCACATGCCTTGACGTCTCACTACCAGAGTTAGAAACAAAGAGGTGGTTTGGCTGATGATGAAGAGCTGGAGGAGCTCGCACGCGCACCTTCGATGCATCAGTTTTCCTGCTTCCGGTGCGACACGTTCACAGCCTGCTGACGAGTTTCTCGAGAGAAGCGGGGGTAGATTGGCTCTCCTCACTAACCTTTGCGCTTGTTCAGACCCTGCCGGTGTCTTGAAGCTTTCTGTTGGCTTTAACCTAATTACAGCACAACATCTTAACTTAAACAGCACTTGTGGCTTCGCTCATGCCCAAAGGCTCACAAGTAGTGCTTCTTCACAAGTAGTGCAGTTTTGGCACTCTTGTTTAAGGATGTTCACCTCCTGCATGAGACTGAGATGTTGGTGCAAATGCAAGGACGTCCGCTGCCGCATTCAGGAAACTGGACGCTGATTCTCGCCAGATGAATGACAGGAAAAGCTCGATCTGCTTCCAGCCAAATTTGCAGAAGTCGATATCACTCATGTGTAAAGCCGGTCTGGGCATTTGATATGCAGAATTTAGCAACAGCCGCGGTGATCATCATTTGCACGAACATTGAGTATTCGGGAAGAATGTGGTTCTTATGTTCACGACGGATATGGAATAGCTTCCGTCAAGCAATTCTACATCTGGTGTTGGTGGCTCACTACATCCCTGCAGGCAATGCATCTCGCTGTGCCTCAACTGCAGTCCTTGCTCTGACACTGCGGTTCATAGCTCTTTTGAAGTCGGCCTTCTTCTGGGAGTACTGAGTATTATCATGCGCCCGTCGCGGTCAGGGTTTGTTGTCGGATCAGGAGACGGCGGCCCACGAGTTGTTGGTGTCGTAGCTTCACCCGCAGGCGGCCGTGCATTGGGTGCAGAACGACCAACTTAGTGAGAGTCCACCGCACAGGGCCGCCAAGCTAAGAGAACCCATTGGAACCAAAGGGGGCTCCGTCCCATTTTCACTCAGCAGCGTCTCTTCCTTGGCATGATGGCTCTCTCTTCGCCCGTCGCCAGCGACACCACAACTCGCTCAGCGTCCTGCAGTCCCTGATCAGAAGCCACCGGCCTGAAAGGGTGACTGGCTCCACTGTCCAGCAAGGCGTCCTCGGATGAGCCTGCCGTTGCTGGGGCCAATCTTGAGGAACCCAGCCTCTACGCATACCACGACATAGCACTGGAAAAAGAAGAACTCTCAGGCTCATGCTCCTTCACAACCAAAGTCTTCAACCTTCTAACCTCATCCAGCTGCTGCTGTATCAAAGCTAAACGGTCCGCTGGAGCTGCAGGTTCCGGAGGAAGTTGATTCTGGGCCGTCAGGCCTTCAACATCTTGTTCGTCTCACTGAGGATAGTCGTCATCTGGGCCGGGTCGATCTTATTTGAGGTTGTAGTAGAGGAAGCCTGCTCTCTTGCGGCCGTTGAATCCGCCTCGGAAGTAGCCCCACCAGCCGGTGCCGACGCAGGTGTGGTAGACGCCGGAGCCGTCGGAATTTGAGCCGTGGCCAACTGTGGTGTCCCACCCCTCTCAGGAGATGCTTGCCGTTCGTGCAGTCCTTGGCCCGGTGCTTCTTCGACACACACAAAAGATCACAAAGCTCAGCTCTTGCCAACCCGGTCCAGCTATGAACAAACGTGCAGTTCTTCCCGTTTTTTGCTAGGGCCCTGCGCGCACTTGTTTTGCGCGCTTCGGCGCCTTCTCAAAAGAGGGATCTCGCACCAGCCGGGCTATGA